TCGTTCATCTGGTCCTTAGGAAAGGGACTGTTTCTTAAGTTTCAATGTGAGATTTTATGGAAGCGTTTTGTGTTTGAGACATTGCACAGTAGTGTGTATATACAGACCATTGGAATCGAAGAACAAGATTTAAACTGAGAGTCTCAATAGGGCAGCCTGCCCTCCGTAATTGAGACTTGTAATTCTGCCAATAAATTTGCCATTAATTCAGTATATATTCTCCTAATCTGGAGTGAAAGAATGTGAAAGGATGACAAAACCCCTTACCTGGTGTGTGTGTTTTATACCATTTCAAGTATTTTAGGTAATCATATCTCCTCTACAAAACTGAATTGCCAATGAAGATACGCAAGCAGAGAAAAACCATAGCATTTATATTGAATATTAACAATGATGAATGAAACATAATGCCAAAATGCACTCATCCTCAGTAGAAGATGTAGAAAATGAAGTAGTTTTAACACCTCAGAGCATGAAACTTTTGTGAAAATATTGAATGAGATATTCACCTACTATGTGCATAGTCTAAAAAATGATGCATAGCAGATGAGATCACCATAGATTTTTCCACATATTTACTCAATTAATTATGAAGCATTTTAAGAATAGAACCCTAATCCTATTACATTAAAAAATACATTGAAAACTTGATTTCAAAGGAAAAAAAGTATCTGAAGTACCTTTGAATTCAGGGACTCTTGAGATACAGTATTATTCCATAAAATATTGATACTCACCAGTGATCATTTCACATTTAATTCCATGACAGAGTCAGCTCAGCCCTGGGAGGAGAAGGAAGATGAGGAGGAGGGAGGAACTACTGAGATTGCAGAGATATTGAGGTTCTGATGAGGTGAATTTCCCCCATTTTTTTACATAGGGAATATGTATTGATAGGGAGGGTAGCTGGGTAGGTAGGTTGGTAGGTAGAGCTGTTAAGAGTGCACCTGTGGTTGGAGCACTGGGTTTGGAGTAGTACTGTACCCCTTACTAGTTTTGTAACTTCAGGCAATTTAACCTTGTGTCTCAGATGTCTCAACTTCCTGTGATAGTTATATCAGCTGTTTCGGAGATTAAATAAATGTATACACAACGACACAGTTTTGGACCATAGCAAATGCAGAAAAGTTAGGTATTGTGCTTGTAAATAAAATGATTATTGTTTACTGCCCCTATATGATGTGTTGCCTAAGGGCGGAAGATTGAAATGGTCACCTAAGCATCTTTCAAATCTATTAGATTTGTCACTAATCAGAAAGAGCCAGATGCATTGATTTTCTTATATTTCAGAGCAGGTTTTGGAATTAGTTGTTGACCTGTTATTTAGTTGACTGTGTTAAGATTGGGAAATTTTGCTATTGTGACTGCTTTTATGGTTATTACTATGGTGGAGGTAAATCACGAAAGAGCAGAGGTTTGCTGAGTGTGTGTGTGTGTGTGTGTGTGTGTGCGTGCGTGCGCGCGTGTGTGTGCGTGTGCGCATGTATGTGTGCACACATACATATACTGCACTCAACCTAATTTCTCTGTAACTGGGTTCTGTTGCTTTCTGTAGTTCTCACAGGATGATACTGTCAGTCATCTAGGTAAGCTTGCTTTAGAAATCCTTAAGACATCAATTCTAGCAGTGAGGGAACAACTAGGTGCAGTGAATCCTGAGCCACTCCGCATCTGTCTTTTATGCTCCTGCTTAATGTTACATGGGCCTGGGGCTGGGCTAGCTCATCACCTGTGCCAAGCAGGACAACTGAAGATGATAAGTACTCAATCACATATCCAGCAGAGAGCAAAACATGTACTAGCAGTTACTTTCGGCTTAGTATAAAAGCAAATGGTTGCATACTGACTGACTGGCTCCTTATTATTTCAGTTGTTTGAACTTATCTTTAGTCAGGAGGAAGAGGTAAAGACCTGCATTGTAGGGGGAGGTCGAGGCAGGTTGTAGAAGTTAACCTAGGAAGTTACTTCCATTGTGTGTGTCTATGAATTATTGTCCCTGTAGATCAGCTCCTTCTCCTTCCTGCAGGTGCTGTTCTGGTATTTCTAGATGCTAGAATCACTTACCATGTGCCTGTATGGTTTTGACTTAGGATGGTTGTTACTTGCTGGACCACTGTGTGGCAAAATCAGACATGTCAAATAGAAATTTCTAGATCACCGTCCTGATCCAGGGTCAACAAATCTGCGTCAAATTGTGCCTTAATAGATAATAACTTATTTGTGTCTTAGAGGAAACAATTTATGCAAATGTGCACCTGTATGTAAATAGGATACATATATACATGTAAGTTACAACTCTGAGTATCTATTATCAAAATGTTTGATAGCATATTAATAATACAGAGAATGCTGTGACATTAAAATGGATGACTATATAATTTTATTTGCCTCTTGGAAATCCATTGAGCTATTGATTCCACAGCAAATGTGTTTTGATTAAGATCAAAGCAAGATATGTCTGACAGCAATTCAAAATTATTACAAAGCTATTACATATTTAAAGTCTGTAGCCTTCTGAGATTATTATGTGTCTGATTTTTAGCCTCGTGGGGTAAATCTATCAAGACGTTCTTCCAATGACTGTATATTCAATGCTGTATAGTTATTCCACACTGTATACAACTCATGCAGGTGCTTGGGTGGTTTGGACACACGGTGGGATGAAAAGCTTCTGTTTAAACTAAGTGAGGATAGAATCATGAATACAGAAACACATATGCTTTATCTATGCATAGATATGTCTGAAAGTTACTTCCACTAGTTATCAATTATTTCACTAATTGAAGAAGTTTAACCATTGGGATGTACTCCCCTAGCTGGGAATATTAGTATGTATGGTGTCTATTACGGCTGTGGCTGGTGAATGAGCCTGAAAAATCAGGAAGGTAGAATTATTTCCCAGGAAATTTTGATTTCTGATTATTTTTTTAAAAAATAATAGTTTTTCACTTTTACAGGAGCAGAAATTTACTTCCTAGTTTGAGTGCTTATAAAATTACATACGACCAACAATAAAAAATGTTGAAAAACCCTTGTGAAAATATAGTGATCTTTAAATGTGCTAAGTGGAACATGGACCTGGCCAGGTTTTCATGATTTATCCATTTTTAACTTCAAAGACTCTGGTTTGCTTGCATTTTTTAAACTAATGAGTTTATCACAGCTAGTGGGGAAAATGGTTAAACTACATCAGCTGTAAATTGGTACAAAGCACTAAAAGGGACATTAGCCTTTAATCAGATTCTTAACAGTTCATTAAACCTGCCCTTCTAGAATCCCTTTGTCTTTTCTCCTTTGCTTAGGGCTCCTATATAAGGCCTTTCCCCCACTTTCATCTAGACTAGACCTCCTCCAGGGTAAGAAGCAGTATCTGCTCATCCTTCTTTGTCTACCAACCAACCAGCCTCAGGGAGGCTTTGTGAAAGTGGATTGCCAGAGCTGTGGGAAGCTGAGTGGCTGGCTGGCCGGCCTGCTGGCTGTGGGAAGGCTTTCCTGGGATGGCTGGTGGCAAACCATGCTGGCTGCTTCCAAATCAGGCAAGCAAGTGACAGTTAGAGACCATACCCTTTGTGTAAACAGACACAGGCCTAGGAGAAAGGATTTTAAGTTGGCAACAAATTAACTGAGCTGACCAGCTACAGCACAATTCCTTCTACCCAAACAATCAGGATGTAAACTCTCCTCTAAAATATGGACGATTCAAAAGCAAAAAAAAAAAAAAGAAAAAGAAAAAAAATTTAAAAAGATTATGTCCTCCTAATTTCACAAACATTTTATTTCTCCAAGGAAAGAGTAGGTGGTGTAAACCTTTTAAACTGCTCATTAGTTAACTGGCATACAATTTTCCCTTTGTTCTTTCAGTAATTATTTGTGATAAGAGATCTTATAAATTTTATTTCTTTGAGTATTTTTCTTAACAAAAGAATCAGGTAATACGAGAAATAATTAGAGCTTCAGTATATTGCACTTTGTTGGTATTACTTGGCAAAAAACACCATTATTTCATAATTTATTGAAATGAGAGCTTTCATTTTAACTGTTTCATTCACAGTTTAGAAATTATGCTAACTTTTGTTACTCTTGGGCAAAATATTTTGGAGCTTTAAAAAAACATAGTGATGGTCATGTGACTATATTATGTAATTGAGCAAAAATAAGTATTCTAAAACCTCAGTCAAATTTAGTATTATTTGTGTCCTAATTTAGTCAATATATGAGATCAGCTTGGCATTCTAAACATGGTTAAAATGAGCCTGATTTGGGAGCTGATGTGTAACTCTGATTGCCTTCCTAATGTAATGACTTCAGAAAACTCCTAAAGCAGTGAAAATTGTAGAAATTAAACTGAACTTAATCTTATAATATTATTGGAAATACAGTTGAGCCACAATATAAATGTTGACTTTCAAGAGGGGATGAGCTGAACCAAACATATAAAGCCATAAAGAAATGTTCTTTCAATAGGATTTTTAAAGAATTCACTCTGAATTGAAGATTTGTGTTGGTTATTTTTAAAGTAGGGGGATTGACATGTAGAACTTGATATTTGAGTTAGAAAAATTAAATGAATCTAGAACTACTTTATCTTGCTTGTAAATTATGTGATCTTTCTCCTTTATGGATGTTTGTCCACAGTATAAACTCTGGAACTAAAGAAGAGAGAAACATGCTTTATGTTTTCTTCTATTCCTGAGAATATGCGATAAAGATTTCCACCCTCCAATTAGCAAATGCAGGTTTCCACACTCCATTACAGGCTGACCTTTAACCCAGGAGTCAGAGAATAAGACTGATTGATTTCACTTCTTGGTTATTATTTCAAATGGAATTTCAGATTGGAAGAGATAATTGGTTATGGTGATATTTTCACTTAATTATATTTCATTCTTAAAGAATTAGGTTGGTGGTAAGAAAAGTACCACAGTAGAAAAATGTCCATTTTTGATGCTTTGTATCTGACTCTCTCTCTCACCCCCTCCCGCCCCTTTATTTTCAGAATATCAACACCTTTGAGAACAGAATGTTAATGCTTGATGGGATGCCAGCAGTCAGAGTCAAAACAGAACTTTTGGAATCTGAACAAGGGGTAAGCATGTACTTCTGTTAGTGCCCCTCCCCCTTCTCTTGATCACAGGGCCATTCATTTCCAGAGAATCCTGAGGTTTGCTAGGCACTTGGACTTTTTCCTTGGCCTAAACATTTCTCTCAAGGGAAACATCTTGTAAACAAGTCATCTGAGATTGTGATTGATTCTCTCTGTTGGAATGGATCATATCCTGAAATTAGGAAAGATGGATGAGGTGATTAAAAAAATATGGATATATTTACATTGATGAGTGTTTTGAAAAGTTACTAAAATCCAAAGTAAAGATGAAGTATTAAAGTAATACGAGCTCAATGTCAAATTTTAATACAAGCTCAATGTCAGATTTTAAGTTAGTACATTACAGAGCACAGATAAGGGGATGTTGTTTGTTGGATGAATTTCTCTTTTGACCTTTGTTTGATCCTTTTATTTTCTTTTAACTCCGTGAGGAACAAGTAGGGGATGGCTGATGAAATGGAGGTCGGTGAATTTGAAAATTCTAACAGAAGACGTCATTGTACCTTTACATTCAGGGATGCTCTTTGAAATGGCAATGAAATTTACAGAACATTTGATGAGTGACAGACAGACCTGCATACTTCTATGCTGGTGTAAGGATTATCTCATAACGATTCAGCTTAGTATTCAGGTAGTGCAAGCATCCTAAAGATAAACTGATGTATACTAATGTTTCTAATGCGACTTGTTTACAGACAACCTTGAGAAAAAGTCATATGTTCTGGATTTTGGAAGGAGACTAAAAAATTTAATTTCACTATATGTTTCAAAACCATCTAGATAGCTTTAATCTTGATAAATTAGCCTGACCATTGTGAGAGTTTGTTCTGTTACTTTGGAGTTCTGTTTCAATTCACTTCTTAAAATCTACATGCCTTGTCATGAGTTTAAGAAATGTCTGTACAATCTATACCTGTGGTCACATCTCAAAGAAGATAAGCCTTTTTATTGCTGATGGGGAAGGAAAGTGACATACTAGTTGGTTTCACAGTATTACTTTTATTTTACAATATTGTTTTTCTATTTGAACAACAAGACATCTATTCAAATCATGAACAACAACGTTTAAAGAAAAATATCAGAAAACATACGACCTGGACCTCTGGTTAAAGGCCACCTGTCTGGAACTCTTTAGCAATAGCCAGATAATTCTTTCCTCTTCACTGTCATTTTTCAGGTTGCAAGGTAAACTTTTCCAGAAGGATTTAGGTAATAAGAAAATCAAAGCCAATATCCACAGAGATTTGTGAATTGGAACTCCATATCACATTATTTATAGAAAATGCTTTTCTACCTTAGGGACGCAAAAATATTAGAGGTTCCTAAACATAAAAATACTAGAGGTTCCTAAACGTTATTTAAAGACTGTTGATTAAAACTAGTTTTCTTTTTTGTGTGTGTGTGACTGCAGATGACATTAGTATTTTAACCGTTAATTGTGAATATTCTGAATATTCACAATTTAAATTTAGATTGTAAATACTTGAAAGAAATAAGACATTCTTTTTCTTAGTTCTTAAATGTATGATGATAGAATTTTATCCTCTTAGGGTATAGCTTCGCGAGGAACAGCTTATAGTATTTAATGAAATGTATCATGAGTTACCTTCCTGTAGAATAAAATAATTTGCATTTAATAATTTGTAGAACTTTAAATCTGCTTCTTTAAATTAGCAGTAACATCTAGCATTATGACAATTTTTGTTTTTGGCTACTTCCCTGTATTTCTTGTTGGAGGCAGCGGGGTGGGTGGTAAATACTGTATAATTTCAGAATGGAAGACTTATTTTTAGATAAGGATTACTAGCATGTGAAAGATTTTATAATTATTCTTATATTCACAATTAAAGCCTGGTTGATGTTTAATTCTCCATCAGGAAATATAAAAAAAGTTAGTAACATTTAACTAATTAATCACATGCGATTATGGGCTTTTTAAGGTAAGATGTGCTTGGTAAAATGAACAAAAGGTGACAAAAGCTGGGTGTTTGTGGCTCATGCCTGTATCCTAGCTACTTAGGAGGCTAAGATAGGAGGATCACAGTCTGAAGCCAGCCCGACAGAGAAGTCCACAAGACTCATTAACCAGCATAAAGCCATAAGTGGAGATGTGGTAGTAGAACATCAGCCAGTCTTGAGAGAAAAAGCTAAGGTCCAGCTCACAGGCTCTGAGTTCAAGCACATGCACACACACACACACACGCGTGCGCGCGCGCACACACACACACACACACACACACACAAAGTGACTGAAAGTCATTAGTGCCACAGTCATGAATAAGAAAGACTAGAGTCTACAACCACTCTGACAAATCAAGAATTGAAATTATCTCCTTAGCCGTAAGTATTTTGAAATGTAGATTGGGATTTTTTTCCTGGCTGCAGGTAGGATTTTAAGGGTATTCTGCTTTATGGAGATTTTCTTTTTCTATGCACTTGGAGGGGGATGTTTGTTCTCTCCTGCTTATTATAAATACTCAATTCTTCAGCTATCAACTGCCTATCTTCTGCCCCTCAGAGGGACTCAGAACCAGTGAGCACATTGAGGTTGAAGAGCATACCAGGCTAGTCCTGGTGTGATATGGTATTGCTTCAACTACCTTGGCCCATTCTCTGAAGAAACTGGACAGTGTTGGAATGTGGCCATAATTCTTTTATCTGATTATAAATTCTTATAGGGCAAGGATTGTGTTTACATTTAATTTTTGGCACATGGAAAGTACTCACTAAATATACAGGTTATTCAACTGTGCCTTCTAACTACCAAAGTGAAAAATATAGCAATTGGTAGCTAGCTGTAAACCCTCTTTGTTTCAGATGGTTATGGTAAACATAAAATCAGAATGATAGGAAACATGCATTCACACTGGTGGCAGAAGTCTTGGTATTATGGCCATGTGAACTATATCGATACTGCTATTAGCTGTGCATGTCTTGTGTCTGACTCAAGTCTTGTCTGACTCAAATTTGGAGCTAGGTTGTTAGAGATCTCAGGACATGATCATTGCCATTTACTGAATGGGCTTCCATTTTCTTTACATGTGTGCGTAATCCAGCCCATGCTGCTAAGAAGTCTGTCGAAGGTCTCGTGTTCTTACAATAGACTTCAGGAGCACAGCAAGCCATGTTGGAGTGACTTTGTCGGTGACCTTTGGGGTGTTGTGCCCTGCTGTTACAGGAGCTTTCCAAGTCCTGTCAGCCTTTGGAGCACTTCCCGTGTTCTAATGTGTTATTAAAGCAAAGAACCACATCAGGAAGAAGAGACTGGGGGCTGTTACACCTAGAGATGTGGAGGAATGTGGAGCAAGGGCGCTGTGTCAGACATCAAATGCCATGGTGCAATTTGGAATCACATTGGGAAGTTCCCTTGTATCTTGAGGCCTACCTGTCCCTACCTATACAGAGGGGGAACCTCCTGTCAAGTTTAGGCTGATACTTTGTGATCCTGAGGTAGGAGAAAGCATTTTCAATAATGACTTTCTTTTGGGGGGTGGGAGGGGTTTGGTGCTAGTTCTATGGCTTGAACTCAGAGCCTAGGTATGTCCCCGAGCTTTTGTGGTCAAAGCTAGCACTCTACCACTTGAGCCAGCCCTATGTCCATCTCTGGCATTTTTGTGATTAATCGAAGGTGAGAGTCTCATAGGCCTTTCTGCTTGGGCTGGCTTTGAACCACAGTCCTCACTTGAGTAGCTAGGATTCTAGGCATGAGTCATGATTACTTTTTAGGCTTCATACAATGAAAATACATGTAAGATAGACATGGTTGGATGCTTTGCAGCTAGGCAGTGGCCTTGACAACCTTGATTCTTCTCTGTCCATATCACTGCCCTCAGCTGGGGAATAGAACTAACTATGGGACCTCAGGAGATCTGCTGAATACGGTGGAGGTGAAAGGTTGGGGGTGGTGGTGAAGAACAATTTTCCTTTGAAGAAAAACAGGAAGAAGCAGTCCTGTTGCTCGTATTTCAGTTGCTGTAGGATTCATGAGCTGTTTAGTAGAAATTCCAGCATCTGAAACTCTAATTCCACAGGTAGTTTAAAGGTAAATCTCAAGTTGGAACATTTCAATACATAGTGTGTGTGTGTGTGTGTGTGTGTGTGCACATACGTAAGAGAGAAGAAACAGATTAAACTCAGGTCATCAATCATGCTCCTGTAATCTAACACTTACGCCATGTTACCACTCCTTTATCCTTTAGTAATTTTTAAAATAGAGTCTGATTCTTTTTCTCGCCAGCAGGTGTTCTCAGACCATGTTCCTACTACCTGTGTACCTCAATAGTAGCATATCTCTGATTACAGGTGTACACCACCATCCCTATCTTTGTGTATGAGTATGAGAGAGAGAGAGAGAGAAAGAGAGAGAGAGTATATGTATGTGTATATGTATGTGTGTACCAATACTTAAGCTTAAACTTTAGGCCTGTGTGCTGTTCCTTAGCTTTTTCTACTCAAGGCTGTTGCTCTGCCAGGAGAGCCACAGACAGCTCTACTTCTGGCCTTTTGTTGGTTCATTGGAGATAAGAGTCTCACAGACTTTCCTGCCCACAGTGGCTTCTACCTATGATCCACAAATCTCAAGTAGCTAGGATTACAGGCGTGAGCCATCAAAGCCCAGCTGGCTTGTGTTTTGAAAGAATATTTTTATGTTGTGTTTGTTTGGTTTCAGTTTGGAATGGACTGGAACTGAGAAACGGAGATCCTTCTATTCACAGGTACTGAGATTACAGATGTGAACCACTGTTCCCAGTGCCTAATGTGATTTTTTAAAATTTAAGTATGTCTGTAGAAATGGCTACTTTATTGTGTGAAAATAGAATAATGAAATGAAAAAATAATTTTGTTAAAGCTAGTACATTTTTTTGTGGTTGTTGTGAGGATGGTCTTCACTCCCATTAAATACAAGACATGCTGAGTTCCCATACCTTAGAAGATCTTCCCTAAAATATTGAAAAGTGAATGTCAAAAATATCTGGTGTTTG